CACTAAAGTTGTAAAATACAAGGAATAAATTATTGTTTATTGATATTAAATGTTATTCTAAAATTGCTGGAATATAGAATTTTGTGCAAGTATATATCATTTAAAAATAATTTTACTTAAGACCATTATCTAACATGTTCTCCATCTGCTAAGATCTGTAATTAAGATAACTGGCCTTGGTTCAATGAAAATTTATCATTACTGGTGAATAGATTTGTGTAAGTGTTTGAGTTGTTATTGAGATTTTTATTTAAATCTCAAAACTAAAATCTTTTTGACATTGTGATACAGATTTTTTCCTTAAAGAGATGAAGTAAATCCAAACCATCAATTATCTTGATATTTACTTGTGTTTGAAGTGTGAACAGATGCATAGTATTTTTAGAATCAATTCTTAATTTTACTCTTAGAGGGGATTTAAATACTGTTTCACTGACCAAAAAAAAATCCCAGCATTGATCAGCTTGATCATAAAAAAATGTACATCCCTTTTTGAGTCCCTTTATGAATGTCATGTTTCTCTTTTATCAGAAGTTTAGGTTGTCTGGCTATAAATTATATGCATAGGAATTGCACTATTTCATACACAGATATTTATTTAGCGTACTCCTCTAGCTAAATTGATAGAGTAAAAATAATCTTTTCAAACTGTCTCCCAGTTTGTTTGTTAGGCTCAGGAGGAAATAAATCAGTTGCTTCTTCTTATTTGTATGCGTAATTTCAGTAATCAGATAATTCCATTGACTTGCTAGATGGACCTTAGTATTTATGTGCATAAATCTTTTCTTTCTCTTCTTTGTCTAGGGTGCTATACTTAATAATACACTAAGTAAGTATTTTAAATACATATAGAACTAATTTAATGTGTACAAGACCATATATACAGTTGCTTTATTGTTTACATTTGTATCCGTTATGAATATGATGTTTAGAAAGTTGTGCTTAGTAGGAATCTAATTAAACAATCAGGTTTCACTTTATCTTATGAATGGGATTCATTTCATCTCATTTAAAATGGTAATTTTATTGTTAATGTGTATAATATTTATTAGATACTTAATGGATATTCTTAATTGTCCACTTTGCATTTTATTAAGATAAAGACCGTGGCTTTTCTTTAGAGGTTGGTTTTGTATTCTCTCTCACTATTGTAAGATGTTGCATTTCCCTATTTGACAGTGTGCTCTTGGCATAGTACATAGACATCTGTGTTACTTAATAAAATACATTGTGTTTTATCACTATACCTTTGTGGGTCAATGACTGCTTTGGCAAAAAATAGGTTAAAATTTTATTCAATATTTATCTTGATAAATTCACTCTGTACTATATTATGTGTCTCAGTGGTGTGTTATCAAATATGTGTAAAAAATAAAAGTAGAGAACATAAATATTCATTTGATCAACAACTACCTCAACACCATTTCCACTTTTCAGTAGCAGACATGATTGCAGACACACAAACTTCTAATATTTCAATTTCTAAAATGCTCTAAATTTGTAATACAGCAAAAATTTCTTGCTGACAAGAATTACTAAAGAATAAAACTAGTGTGCATGTATGAAATATGTAATCTATTTTATCTACATTATTCTTCAATTTCTAAGATTCTTATCAGTATCTTTTACATTTGTCTATGGTGCATTGATTCTTTCGGATTCTGACCATGTTAGTGTTTACCTGTGTTATTTAGTATTTATATATGTTAGCAGCCCATAAGCTATGGATTTTAATTCAGTCCTCGAATGTAGAAGCATTTTCCACACAGAGGTAGTCTCAGATGTCCCTAGAATGAGCTCATATTGACTTGCTCATTACCAGCGGTTGCCTTCAGGATGGGGGTCTTCATTTTCAGGAGTATTATCTTTTTGTTATTGAGCTTTACAGTTGAGATCTTATTGCTCCCCACTAATGAATAAAAGTTTCTGTTACTTCATTTTACCTCTGATTCCAACTGATTCTGACAAGCTTTTCCTCTGGAACCATCACTAGTATGTTAAGATATCACCAGTGAAGGAATCAATCAATATAAATCATTAGGTCACTTGAAAATGGCATATACTTCACATTATAGTTTTAGAAAACTAACATCTAAAACCTTTTTTATCCTTTAAATTATTTCTTTTGTGAACAGTTTTATTGGCACACAATTCAAATATCATACAATTCAATAGTTTAATCATTGCATTATTTCTTGAGCCGAAAGCTGATATTTATATTCATTGGAAATGGCAACAGATAAGAATTATATCAGTGTAGCAAGCATTCTTAATTTATTAATTGGAAACCCATATCTACACAAAAATAATAATTACAATTCACCTTTACAGTCCTGGTGATGATTGTCATCTTATTCACTAGCAATCTTAATTTATAAAGTAATATAACAGAGTTATAAAATAAATGCTCATCAGCAAATAGTAATTTGATATTGAACCAAGAGCCCCAATTAGCCTCCAAACGAGTGGTTTAGCTAAAATAATAATAATGATAACAATAAAAATTGTGCCTATATACTTAACTCAGTAGGTTTTCATTTCCATGACGTTCTCTGAAAATTTGTATAATATTAGGTTTAATAGACTTGTTTTCCAAGTCGACAGCAAGTTATTGTTGGGGAAAGATGCTTAGCAAAGCTCCCTGATAATACAGGAAGCAGTGGCTACTATATCAAACTGGTGAGGACCTTGAGAACATGTAGAAATTGAACATGAGTATCCAAACAGATCAGCTAGCAGTATTTATTATAGGTGTAAAATGTTGCTACACCGTTAAATACACAGCAGTATCTGGTAACCGCACTGTAACTCCGAGGTCAGCTAAAGCTCACTGCCACGTAGTTGATGCGGACTCATAGCAACGTACAGGACAAGGTAGAGCCGCCTCTGGGTTTCAGAGACGGTGCTTTTTCACTGAGCTGCTGGTGATTTCTAACTGCTGAGCTTCCATAGCTCGACTCGCAACCACCAAGCTACCACGATTCCGAGGTGACAAAGGCAGAATGAATTAAATATACTATATGCTCTTGATGAAGAAAACAAATGAAGGCGATTTTTTTCAATATTGTGTCACCGATGGCTGATCTACTGGTTTTCATATTTGATCTGCCTTCAACGATCTCGCGATCTCAACGCCTCATAAACTGAGAAGCACTTATAGTCCGAGTGTTCCTATAACCATCTACACATAAATGTAATGAAAGTTTAGGAATTGCAAAGTGAATACCTTGTGTTGAGAAAGCATAAAATTAAGTCGTTTTATTTAGTTTATGTTAAAGGATGTAAGGTAAACTCTATATTTCTCTTAGTTTTTAATTCCAGTAAAGCTAGTATTTGACCAAGACAGTCTTTGACCATTTTAACTGCTTTTAAACATATATTTTGGATAGTTTATTTATATACTGCCATATTAAATACATTATTAATCCTATTTTATCTATTCTTATAGCTAGAATTACAATACTTTTTTTCAAAGTCTACATAAGACTTTTACAGGAATTGCTATCTTAAGCCTAAAAAGGATTGGGGATGTTTTTGAGGAAGAAAAGTGCATAAGCTTATTGGTTTCATAAAGAGAAAAATTGTAGAAAAGAAGAATGCATACATTTTTGATATATAATTGTGTTTTAAATTTTATTATACCTCAATAACTTAAAACTAAGTTGCTCAGCTTTTCTGAAACTCTGATTTCACAGTGGCTCTTAAGGAGATTGAGTAATTATAGCATGATATCAAATGTTTACTAAAAATTTTTACTAAATGTTTACTAAAAATTATTACGATGTGAGTTTTAAAGTGAGTTATTTTCTCAGTGCTGTTCATAACTAGAACTTTCTTTTTTCTTCCAGCAAAGGTTATTAATAGTAATTTTGTAGTTTATTCAAGTAATTTGTCTTCTAGACATTTCTTAGTTGTGAATTTCTCAATTAATGACATTTTATCAGTAAGAATAATAATAAATGAAGGCAATTTAACAACTAGTTTGGGGAATTTTTTTGCGTGGAATTTTTAAAAGATAAATGTTACACAATGAAGCGAAGAGGATAGCCCCATGTATAAGCTGCCTGCATCTTATTTATGATTAAATTTGGGTGTTGGCACTCCAGCTGATGCAATGGTCTTTGTACAAGACACTGAAATCACGCAGGTCTTTCTGTGCTGTCAGCAGGAGGAGATGGTCTGAAACGAAGAGTAGGTATGATAGTTCTTTTAGACTTTGTACATCACAGGTGGTCAAGACACTTTAAAAGATTTGTTCATAAGCAAGAAAATGTAGTAGTACTTTGAAAATCTGCACTGAGAGAAAGTGACTGGCACATTTTAGAATAATAATTTATAATCCTTACAGAGATTTTTTTTTACCTCTTCTGTTTATTTAAGTGTTCAGTGATTTAATATAAAATTGTTTATTTTGTTAAGTATTGTGCTAGCATGCTATAAATATTATAAAGTTCTTTTATAATCTACTCTAACTTGTAGAGAGTGGTAGATCTACATTGTGAGTCATTAGTTCTAGTTTATTGTAGCCTAATAGAATTTCTTAGCATTCTGGAATTCAGAAAATATTCACAATGTACTGAATCGAATTGATAATCTTGAATTATATGTTAGTATTACTGTTTTAAAATCTCTGTTTTTCAGGTAATAGGTAAATGAATGATTCTTTAACTTTAGAATAAAAATTATGGTTTTGTTATTCTTTGGCAC